CAGTAAACATTAATAGCTTTTTTTGATATCTGATTTAACAGGAAACTCAGGTTTATCTTATATATTCATTTTTGTCCCAGAGCTGGAATTAGTCATTTCTCTAAAAAGCACTACTTTTTTTAAAGTATGAGGTGTCATGTTATGACCAAAATTAGATCATGAGGAACACTCATTTGCTACTAGGTTGATCAACGTTTCTAGGCATTTTCAGTGGTTACATATAGGTAAATATATAATATACACCCACACCCACCATCCTCTCCATATGGACATTTGTGTGTTCATACTGCTTCAGTTGAGATACTGAACTACAGGATTTTTACTGAAACACTTTCTATATTAAATCTGTGCCTTTTTTTTTTTTTTTCCACACTGTGAATCCTGGTTTTCAAGGATACTGGGGTTGCAGAATTAGAATATCCCATAGAATGCATACATCACAGCAAACTGAAGAATAACAATCTTAGTACTCTAATTTTATATCAGAACGGATTCTCCAGGGAAACAGAACAAATAAGACAATAGGATAGATAGATAGATAGATAGATAGATAGATAGATAGATAGATACTAAGATTTATATTAGGATGGAATTATACACACACACACAGAAGAAGAGAAAGAGTCATTTTAAAGAATTAGTTCAAGCAATTTAGGGTTGGGCAGTCTGAATATACAGAGAGCTCCTGTATAAGCCACACCTAATTTCCTATATATTGATAGCTAATATTATTATGACATACATGTTACAATTAATGAACGAATATTGATATATTATTGTTGGAAAAATGTCATGTGCATGAAGTTTTTCACTCTTCATTTGGCAGCATAAAAACATGCCTTGGGCTGGAACATTTCCTGACCAAGAGATAAAAAGTCTATACAATGCAGTGCTGGGCTTACCAATTTATATGGGAATATATCTTCTGTTTCAGGTACAAGGTATTTTCCTTTGTTCTCTAAAACAAAAATATCAGTGGCCCTCAAACAAGCCCCCAGCTTGCAGTATTTTAGAAGTCACAGACAGGGATCAAGATACTTCCATGGCAGCAGTAAAGGAGTGCACATAGACCCATTGCCCTGCATCAGGCATAAGATAGACCCACTGGTCCTGGGGAACCTATGTCCCCTAGTGAACCTGATCATGCTCTGTCTCTTCTCATAAATAAAGCACTGTTCTATCCAATGCTCAATTATATTGTATTTTCCTTTATGACTCTGATACCAAAATGCAATGGATAGGAGTGTTTAGACTTTTACTTCAGGTGCTTGGCTTAGTGATGATTTTTGATATTTTTCCATGTAGTTAGAGTCCTCTCTTGGAATCAATAACTGGTGCATGGCACCTTGATTGACAATTATTAGCTGAAATCCACACTTTTTCAAAGTTTCTTCATTATTTTATGATCCTGTGCCCGGATTCCAAAAAGTGCCAAATTACATTTAGGCATCATGTGTCTCTAGACCCCCCTCTTAGATGTGATAGTCTCTAAGACTTCCTTTGTTTTCAATGACTAGCAGCAATTCATGAGTACTAGATAGATATTTTGTAGATTGTAGCTGAAACGGAGTCAGTCCTTTGCTTTTTCTCACCATTAAACTGAGTTTGTGGGTTACTGGGAAGGAGACCACAGAAGTAAAACGTCTTTCTTATTACATCATATCAAAAGTATACACAATCAATGTGATTTATTGCTGTGGAGTTAATCTCAATCTCAGCTGACTGAATTAATTAGGTTTTTCCCTTTCTAAGGTTATTATTTTTTTCTCCCTTTCCATGCACTATGGAAAGAAGTCACCATATGCAGCCAACCATATGCACCCTTAAGGAGAGGGAAGTTAAGAGCCATCTGCCATAAATTATTTTAAATCATTCTGCACAAGAGATTTGTGCATTCACTTACATTACTTATTTATCAATTATTTACTTATATCAATATATCAGTATAGATTCATAGATATTGACTTTGTACTTTGTACTTTGGTTATAATCCAATACCACTCTAATTTGTTGCTCAATTGTCCAGCTTTGGCCATTTGCAATTCTTTCTTGGCTTCTTTGTTCCTTTGAGATATATATATATATATATATATATATATATTTGATTTGTATATATTTGCTTGATATATATTACACACACACACACACATATATGTTTTTGTTGTAAACATTTCCTTAATTTCTGTCACTAAATGATACTCTGAGCTTATATGGTATTCCTTACCCCAGTCCTAGAATAAGCCATTTTCTAAAAGCTCTGTTTCTTTCACCAGAGGATGATATGAGAAACAAAATTCTAACGGACCAGGTGTGCTTGTTGTTGATGGGGTGTCATTGCTTCTAAGCCTCCTACACAAGGAAGTATATGTATGTATGCTAACCTGTCAAAATACACATATCCAAAAATGTCTTGTATGTATCAACCTGTATGCATATTAACCTGAGTTCATACTGATGCCTTCAGGGCTAATCTATTACCACTTGGTCATAGAACCTTATCTGTAATCTCTCACTTCGACATTGAGAGACCGGGCTATAACTACTACTATTTGTTTATTTTTCATATGTTTTGGTTATAAGAATATGCATTATTCACATACTTCTTTTATTGCAGATGTGTGGAGATGCTACTTGTCCTTTACAGATTGACCACTTTCATTGCCAAAGTTTGATTTACTTTTGTAACCTCCGTGATACCTTTATTTTTTATTCTTGGACAGTGGATGCCTAATTAATATTTATTAGATTGTCATTACTAAGTCAGACAGCTCATTTTAATAAAATGTATGGTCAAAATAAATTTTTAAATATGATTAAAATAAAGTTGAACTATCAGGTAATATGTGTAAATTCCCCACAAAAGGGCTAAATTTATATAGTGCTAATATAGCATAATGTTATATGCCTCAAAAAGATAAGTAGTGGTTTTTAATAGTCATAACTTGCTGAAGCTTAAGAAGCAAGATTGAAACAGAATTGTAATATCTCATTAACTATGCAAGTATCTTTAATATTGCCAACTTTCAATATTACTTCAATTTTTCTTATGTATTAAGAAAATTTCAAATTACTTGATGTAATAAAATTGAACAACAAAAATTATACTTTCTTATAACACTTCCAAACTTCACTGCTGATTATTTGCTTCTATTACAGTTGACATAAATGTTGTATCATTGCCTTTCAGGTGAATTGAGTCTGTAGGTAGCCTGAATCTGTCAAAATGATTTTGATAAAAAGTAGGTTTCAGAAACTTATTTTTTCCTTTCTAATTCTTTTCTCCAGATGCTTCTAAAATAATAAATATACTCCCTGGAGATAATTAACCACAGCGGCATTTTTAAGACATAATTATTTGAAGATCTATAGCATTTTAAGATCGATCCTTTAAAATAATATTATTTGTATTGTTTCAAAATACATCTTGTCTCAAGACTTATACTGCCTGACTTATAAATATATATAATATATGGCTATTTGTGTGAGGAATATTAAGTCATCTGTGGTTTTTATTATGATTATATATATATATATATATATAGGATCTATGATACAAAGAACATGCTCTAAATTTAGATAGTTTAGAATAATGAATTTGAGGAAATGGCTATCAATAGTAAATTGGTATTTTATTTAGTATGAAATGTTCAAATAATTTTTTACCATCAAATATATTTAAATATGTTTTCAGTTGTTTACTTGGTTTTTTATTCTTATGATTTTTAAAGGAGTGTTCTTATTAGACAGTCTTTTTTTGTATAATATTATCCACTAATGAATGCAGGAGCAAAATAAAATTAGCAAAATCACCATTTTGCAAAAACTAATAAAATAAGTGATTTAGGAAAATAAAATGAATAAATGTTAAAAAATGTAGGTCGAATATTAGTGAGGAGATCACTCTTCACAGCATGCTAACGCTAATTCACAGATTGTTTGCTGGTCATAGGGAAAATACAACTTTGCCATCCAGGAATCAGGTTTTAGCAACTGAAACCACCAACAAAATGAACTTCCTGAACCATGGGACAACCACATGTTTTATACCTCCTGGTTGGTATAACATCAAGTATACTATATATGATATTTTTAGCAAATAAACAAATGGAAAAAAAATATGTACGTTTTAACTTACACTTAACAATCAGTATTATTTCTCCTTTTCACATTTCCATAGAGGAGGCTTCAGATGTGACCACTCTTCTCATTGAGTATTATTAGGGAGAGCATCTGTTTTCCCTATGCATCCTCCACTTTCACTTTCCCAAGGTAAAAGTGATGTAAACTTAATTGATAAGCATCTACCATGTTTAGAGTGATATTTCCTATGAAGTATTTTTCCTTTAAGCCTTTATGCGGTATATACTTTGGCCCTGCTGCTTCATCCACCAAGGAGAGCTTTCTGGAAATACTTGGGGGAGATCCACCATTTATCTTCCTTACTCATCTACAATTAAGCATGTGGTTTGATTTTGAAGTGCAAAGTAATAGTCCCAGTTTCGTTTTCTAATTCTGTTCTTGTTAGGTGGCCATTGATAAAGCTTATATATTGATTGCTTTGGCTTTGTACATGTCCTTTGTCACCTGGGCCCTAGAGGAGGGAAAAACTGTGGTTGGCAGCTTTATGTTTATGGATTTGCATCTTCCAAAATAAATCGTAGTTACATTTGCCTCCCTTAGCCTTATGCTTAATATTTTTTTTTTTCCCCAGGGGGACAATTCTGTTTATTGTCAACCAAGAAACAGAGGGCAGGGCGGAGGCGCTCTATACAAGTGGTGGAGAGGCACAGAGGAGAGGAGACGCGACAATACACAGCAGTGTTCCGAGTGGGCGCCACTTCTTCATTCTAACACCTGGATCAAGGAGACACAGCCACCCTTTTCGCTCAGGCTGCCAAAGAATGGACACCGGACTCAGTTTATCAGCTCCTGGAGGGCAGGCGGAGCGAGAGGCTACCGTTGGAGGAGGCCGCCTGCGGTCCGTGGGGAGCCGACCAAGCGCAGGACGGACGCTGAAGGCAGCCCTCCGCTGCCCGTGGCGGCTGGCCCCGGCTCCCTGGGTCCTAGGCTTCTCTTGATTCTCAATGATCAGCTTGTCAGCCGACTACACCTGGCCGATGTGGACCTGTCGACGAATTATTCCGAGGTCTCTTTTGGCTTTATTCACTAGGGCCTGAATTTCTGCAGGATCCTTTACATTCTTATTTTCTCTGAAGGCATCTCTTATTCTCCTGACGGCGTAAGTTCTGTAGTTGTGGGCGCCGAAATGCTCGCTCTCTCTCAGCATCGCCCGGTACAGATCTAACACTCGTGCGCGGCTGGAGGCTGCCATTGTGGAAAGGGGGAAAAAAAAACAAACCAACCCGCGAAGCGGGTCGTCTTCGGGAAGGCCCCGACGTCACCCAACCCGCTCGGCAAAGCCGCGGACGCGCTGAACCGGCGCGGCGGGGGCCGGGGCCGGGGGCGGCCAGCGGGGCCGGGAGCTCGGCAGGCGGGCGCAGGCGGGCGCAGGCGGGCTCGGGGCAGCCCGAGGGGGAGGCGCCGGCCGGGAGGCGGGCCCCGGGCGCGGCCGCCCCCCCACCCACCCCCCCCCTCCCCGCGGGCCGAGGCGGGCAGAGGGGAAGCCGCGGGGAAGGGGCCCGAGCCCGAGGACGCCTCCCTTATGCTTAATATTAAATGAGCATTAAATAAATATGCACTGTTGGAACAAATGGATTCTAGTCTTTCATCATAAAGAATCTCATAACTCTGTATCTATATAATCATTCCATCTGTCAGTTACATTATATATAGGGATGACATATAGTTATTACAGTACAGGATTCGGGGATAGGTTTCTCTGGCTAATTTCTGGTCTTATATAATATTAGATATAAATTTACTTTGTTTACCTTGCAGAGATTTGCTATAAGGAGTAAATAATACAAATGAAATTCCTAGTATTATATCAGCTGCAGAATAATTACATCAGGTATAGTTTAAGAAATTTCTATGTGCCAATCCTCTACTCAGTAATTCACTTAGGTTATTTCTCTAAATTCCCTCTCAACTGTTTGATGGAGGTTCTATTATTATTGCCACTTTACAGGTGATAAATTTAACAAAAAGAAATATTCAGTAATTTTTAAAAACCTTACATCTAGTAAGTCTCTTCCAGAGCCCCTTGATCATTATCTTATATAATGCTTACTAAATATTTCTTCTTTTGCTTTTTGCTTAGGTTTAGTTCTAGGCTATATGCTGATGATACAAAGATCAGTAAGAAAAAAATGCTGATATTCTAGGAGAGAAAGAGAAGATACAGAAAGGACCCAAATTTTACATCATTTTTGTATCCATTCTTGGTACTTAAATTGGGTATTGGCAGAAAACATACTATTCCCTGAAGGCACATTATATCCTAAATGTGTTCATATGCAATTCTAGATAATTATATATTCCAATTTCAAGTAAAATTACTAGCATGAAGTATTGTGTTTATTTTCCATCAAAAATAGATGCATATCCTTATCAGAAGGAAGCAAGATTTTACTTAGTTTGAAATATGTCCACATAGACAGAGTAAAATGGGTCACAACTTGAGAAGATAAGAAAAGAGAATAGCTGTTGAGAGAATTTTCAGATGCAGGCTCACATAGCTTCATAACACTGTAAAATTGCCTAAACTCCTTAACTTGCATGCTATTTCTTACTTTTAGAAAACTTTTTAGAGGAGTATTGAAGTGTGGAAGAATTAATGAGTTAGCAATTTATAATTCCCTGAATTTGCTTACTGAAATTAGGTGCAAGGGTTGGTAATAGATGGAGGGTAAAGGAAATTCTTCTAAAGGTTCAAGTTATATTGACCGGTTAGTATAAGATCAGTTATGTTAATAAGGACATACATTGATTTTTCAAACACAAGATTAAAGATAAAAGCTATTAATAATTATATTTTAAGAGCAAAGCCAGAGGCTAATAAAGGTAAAACCATAGTGTTGACTCATCTATAGTCTGGTATATCGGTATGTAGAAATTTTACAAATTTGTACCATTTGCAATAAAGAAAATTAGTCAGATATATTTAGCTATAAGCTGGTAAATCAAATGTTTGGTTATGCCAAAAATAGGGGAATTAGAAATAATTCTAAGCGCATGGCACCTTCTAAATATTAAATGCAATATGTTAAAGCAAGTGCAAAATAACCAGGTATGTTACAGGTACAACAAAAGTACCTATATTTTACTGTTGAAAGAAGAATTTTATTTATTTTTTTAAATTTTTGTTTTTAAATTTATTTATTTATTTATTTATTTATTTATTTATATTTAAATATAAATTTATTTATTTATAAATTTATTTATTTATGATAGTCACACAGAGAGAGAGAGAGAGAGGCGCAGAGACAGAGGCAGAGGGAGAAGCAGGCTCCATGCACCGGGAGCCCGACGTGGGATTCGATCCCGGGTCTCCAGGATCGCGCCCTGGGCCAAAGGCAGGCGCCAAACCGCTGCGCCTCCCAGGGATCCCGAAAGAAGAATTTTAAATATCTTTAAAATAATTCTCTCTTGAAATGCTACAAAGTAGTAGTAAACAATGTGATGAATAAGTTGTAAAGAAATACTTAACCATGCAGTATGCCTATTAGGATTTTCACACAAAACAAAATACTGAGTAAACTATTGAACATAGTTTAACTGTGATGAGAATATAAAAATATATGGACAAATTTTTAAATGAAGTAAGCAAGAAACTATTCATCTTATTTAATTGTGTGTGTGTGTTTAAAAGGATGTGTTTCTGTGCGTGCGCACCCCCATTTTGGAAGTTGTTAATGGGTTTAAAGTGCAAAAAGGTCAGCCATAGTATAATTTGGTAGTGGCAAGATTTTTTTTTAAGATTTTATTTATTCATTCGTTTTAAGACTTAATTTATTCATTCATGAGAAACACAGAGAGAGAGAAGCAGAGACACAGGCAGAGGGAGAAGCAGGCTCCGCGCAGGGAGCCTGGCATAGGACTTGATCCCAGGTCTCTAGGATCAGGCCCTGGGCTGAAGGTGGCATTAAACCACTCAGCCATCCAGGCTACCCAATAGTGGCAAGATTTGAATCATTAGATACCAAAATGTCACCATGACATTTTACCAAACATGGCCTACACCTTTCTTTTAGACAATGTTATGTCCATTCTAATGTTTCTATATAACAAGGCAAATGTATGCTAGGCTTAAGAAACATATTACCTATATATCAGCAGAGGAAAACATTTAAAATATAAATTCAGCAATAGATTTCAACACTAATGAACTGGATTCCCCCACCCAATGGAAGAAGTGGACTTGTCAAAGTTGTTGAAGGGCACCTAGGTGGCTTAGTCTGGTAAGCATCTGCCCTCAGCCCAGGTCATGATCTCAGGGTCCTGGGATGGAGCCCCTCATTGGGCTACCTGTTTAGTAGGGAGTTTGTTTCTCACTTTCTTTCTGCCTCTCACCCTGCTCATGCTCTCTTTCTCTCTCAAATAAATAAATAAAATCTTTTTATAAAAGACCATTGAGGTTTTTACAGTGTCTCTTAATTTACAAACCTTTAAGTAGATTCATGTTTCAACTATGAAAGAGGAAAAAATAAAAAAATATCAGAAGCAAGTGGTCATACAACTGACAATTATGCAAATCCCTTTTGTAATTAATATTTATTGATTTTTCCCAGATTAGAAGTATTCTGTATATCACTGAGGAAATAACAATGAACAAACCAGATATGGTTCCTGTGCTTATGGAAATTCTCCTTTAAAAATGTGTCACATTCAGTCTGAAGTAATCTATGAATGTCTGCATTAAGTTATTTCAATAAGAAGATACCATATTGGTGTAAGTTGAGAGAAAGGAAAACTCTTGACAATAGCATTGATTTAAGGAAAAATCTTAGAATGCCTCATTGGCTAGAAAGCTTCTGAATTCTGGACTTCCAGGAAAGAACATTTCTCAACCAGGAAAAGTAAACTGAATATAGACCATAGTAAAAGCCAATCAGAGTGTTAATAACTCAGTAGTGTAAAAAGAGATAATAGAAAAATAAGGAATACTGATGACTATAATACAATAGATTTAGTAAAGCACATTCATAACAAAAGTTTTAAGGCAAAAGATAAAATTTTTTTTTTCTTCTGAGCAACATTTCATCTTTGGCTAAAATATTGGAACATAAAACATAGGATTTTCAAATGTATATATACTAACCTTAAGTATTTCAGAAGAGATGAAGATTGATAAATGTCTAAGTTATTGCTAAAGTTCAAGGGAATGACATTTTTAAAATCACAGTTTTGTTAAAATGATTTATTGACCAATGAAATAGCAGGTACACATGTAGTTCTTATTCTGGGGCACGGTTAGTTCACTTGGAAGGCAAGCTTTTTTGTAGTCTAATTTGTTTCCATGAGCTTTTAGTGAGATCTCTAAACACAGGATGGTCAAGTCTCCTGTGTCTTTTAGAGCAAGGGGAACTGCTACTTTTGGCTCAGCCCCCCCACCCCGCCCCCACAGCTGTTTCCTTCCAAGCATCTCAGTATTTCACTCCATATATACACAGTCATGTGTTTGGCCAAACACTTATGGAGATGTCAATGCATATCTTTAGTACTCTTGCCCTGTTTGCTCTCTTTTCTTCAGAACCCTAACATCCAAATTTTAATGCTCCTCACACTCCCAAACTCTGATCTATGTTTGTTCTGTCATTGAGACTGCTAATCTCACTAGGGTTCCACTTCCCTGTCCTGTTGTATGAAATAGTATCTGAGGAAGAAAGCCAGGGTGTATGTCCCTTAGCTTTTATGGTGTCCATATCAAATGCATCACAGTCTGCAATGTTCATTGTCCCAGGTCTGAAAACAATAGTTTCATATAATGTGTTTAGTGTTACCTTTGTTTATGTCATAGAGGAAGTCCTGGTACTCACATTTCTATCATAGCTGGAGCATTAACCATGCAAGTTATTAAACTGTTAAAAATAAAGTCACTTAGCATATCTCTTCTGGCTTTCAGGCTTCATGCTTTTCTTCTTTCGATGCTTTAATTCACTCTTCTTTGTCCATACCAAATTATCACCTGTCTTTAGCAAAATCCTCATATCCCTTGTCTTCTTTGATGCTTTCTTATGATTACTCTATCTTATTTAATATGTGAATTCTTATATCTATTCTTTGCTATACAACCTATTTTGAAGTAATCTCATACTGCTTATTGATATGACTTGTATTATTTTCTAAACTAAAATAGATTTTTGGATTCCTCAGTTATGCTTAGGTGGTTACAACATCTTGTTATAGGAGAGAATTATGTTCTATATTTAT